CATGTTGTACCTGTACATGTTGTACTTGTACATGTTGTACCTGTACACGTTGTACTTGTACATGTTGTACTTGTACATGTTGTACTTGTACACACAACAGGGCCGATCCTAGAATCTGAGTGACGCTTAGCCCCCCCAGTGCTGACGGTGGCTCTTGGCTTGAACAACCCCATGGCCACTGGCGTCAGAAGCATTTGTACCGTATTTTACACCGTACACGTCGCTTTGCCGTATAAGTTGCATTTATTACGCGTCACCACGGACATCCCGGAAATGTGGGCCGGTGTTGTGCCAAACATCAATTGGCTGCCGCGGGAGCGTGCACGGGAGGACTTTAACAAGAATTTAACAAGATTAACACTTAACAATTATTTGTTTGCTCGACATTATAGTAAAGTTGTGTCTCAGTTGAACTTTTACTTAATAAATTCACTTCAATGGTCAAATCAGCTGCGTTCACCGGGGCGGTGCAGCAAAATGAAGCTGATTTGACGTTTGCTCCAAGCGAGCTGGACGAAGGTGGCATGCCATACTACTCGAGTACCATCTAGCGTCTGAAAATGGTAGTGTTCAATATTTTCAGTCAGAATGAATGAAAACGGTCACATCTCAGACAAACGTTGGTTTATAAAGATGAGAAAAATCCATAAATACCTCGCTTTGGTGTATAAGTCGCAGAGCATCCAAATTATGCAAAACACTGTGACTTATAGGCCGAAAAATACGATAATGGAGGGACACGTTGGTGGAGATATCTGGGGGGGGTCCTCCCCCAGAAAATTTTGAATAAAGTAGATGCTATTTTCTGCATTCTGGTGTATTTTAACAGGTTGTTACGTTTACCTACATCAGTAATCAATTACTATTTTAGAGAAGTAGCCTGACCAACAGCTCTCCCTGTGTGAATAGAGCACGCTCGGCTTCTCACACATCCTAAACACCACCCCAACAAGCTCCTGCAGGTAAGGGGTGTTTACCTTCAGGACAAATTGTGATTGCCGATTGGTCAGTTGCTGACGAGCGTACTGGATTGATTGACAGGTGGCGTCAAGGGTCCGACTCGTTTAACAAAAATCATAGATTTTATTGGTCCATTTAAGAGTCGTCAATTATTCCAAATGTATTCAATATTTTGGTGAATCTACGGTTTGAGAACTAAGTTTTCTTACAAAATCCTAATGACCGTTTCTTCATTTGTGTTAAAAATAAGGTTCGCTTAAGAACAACCCCCCCACCCCACCCCCACCCCAAAAAAGAGGCTAAAATGGCCACTGACGCACATGATGATTTTTTTTTTTACAACAAACCACTGGTTTCTTATTTTTTCAAACAATCTTGAGCCTTTATTTAAAAAATTTCCAGAGCTGTAGTGAAATCAGGTGTTGGTCGTTAAAAGTCGACTCGGTTCCTCGAAGGTTCGAAACGTTTGCGCTCGTTAAAATTCACCGCAGATCATTTGAGCTCCTGGTGATTTTATTTAAACTGTTTTACAAACTCAAACTCTGAACGTGTTACTGTGAAATAAGTTGGTTTATTTTTTGTTGTTAAAAAAAAAAAAATCAGAAATACAAATGAACTGGTTGGACCCTCCTGCTGCCCTTGGGTCAAAGTCACCCACAAGGCCCCAGTTTTACGCCCCGTGGGACATTTTAACCCGAGGGCAGCAGGAGGGACAAACCTCCACACATTCTGTTCATTACGAACATTAACAGTAAAAAACAACGTTAAGCCTCGAGCAGTTTTGTGAGCGGCTGATCTGAGCGCAGTTTTCATGGGTCGCAGGGGTCGGCCACGCGGCCCACGAACAGCAGCGTGTTGAGGCTCGCCTCCCTGATGAGCACCAGGAACGGACGGTCGGCCAGGAACACCTCGCGGTTCAGGTTCATGGCGCGTCCGACGGCCACCACGGCCGTGGCCGCCGCCGCCTCGCTCCCCTCCTCGTTCACCTGAAAACAGAAAACATTTAGAATCACGACCCGTCGGTTCGCTCCGGGTCCACCAGAACCGCCTCGTTACGCCGCAGACGTCTTCGGCAGACGGGTTCTGTGAAGTGGCTGTGGTTGATGGTTTGCCCCCGACTGACCTCCAGGAAGGCTTTGTGGAAAGCTTCAGAGATGAAGAGGGAGGCGCTGCCGTCCTCCAGGATCCCTGGAACAATCGGACAGGGGGGTCGAGGGTTTAACGAGCACATATTGATTAACAATAACTAATCGTTTCCTGCCGTATAACACTTGTGGCCAATCGCTTGAATAAACGACGCTTTGAGCTCATTTAAAACTCGACTGACGGTTTTAAAGTCTTCATTAGTCTCGAATTCAAAATAAAACTCCTCTTTTTGTTTCAAAACTCAAGATTCAAATGAACAGAAAAATAAAAGTCCTGAAAACCCTGAACTGTAAGTTGGAATTAAATTTTAAAAACAACAAAATGTATTAAATGTCATAAAAACATATTTAGATTTTTGTATTAACTCAAATAAAAAGTATTAAGACAAAAATTACAGTTAAGAACACAAAATGGCAAAAATAACCTTTAATTTGAAAAAACTTGTATTCCTTAAGTTTTTGTGTAAAATTTAAAAAAGAAAGAAAAAATCTGAATTAGGAGTAAATAAATGTTTAAAATGTTTTAAAAATGAATAATAATTACACAAAGATGTCTGGATCTGACAAAACGACGTGAATAAATGTTAAAATAAAAACTTTAGAAATGTAATTTAAAATAATCTAGTGGTTCATAATTAAGTAGAACAGCTTTATTTTATATATATATATATATAAAACTATATATTTATAATTTCCTTTGACTTTTAAAATCCATGTGGAATAAAAAAAAGAAAAGTATAAAAAATAAATGCATCTTTAGGATTCTATTTTTTTATGTTTTTTTTTTTAAAGCTCATTTAAATAATTTTTTTAAATGAACAAAACATTTTCTGTTTTGCAGACGGGTTTAAAATCGTTACGTTTGTTTTATTTTGTTTGAACTTTGTGCATAAGTTTTCATCCAGCGCACACAGAGAAGTCAAACTGATTTATAGAAATTAAACTGAGAAATAAATCTGGACTCGTCAACGGTTTTAGATCTGGTCTGGGTCTGAGGTCTCCCTGCAGGTCCCACCTGCTCTTCCCTGAACCTGAACCCAGTCCGGTCTGGTGTATTTAGACTCCGAGGTTCAGGTGGACCCACCTGGCAGGCTGGCCTTGCTGGCGTCGAACAGGTCCGTCAGTCCCATGTCCTGCAGCTTCTCCTTCAGACTCACGTTGTCCTCCACCCTGAAGCGAGGGACGGAGACGGAGACCGTGGTCTCCTTCATCTGGTTCAGCCAGCCGTTCAGTTTCTGCAGGTCCAGACTTTCCTCCACCTGAAACAGCAGGACTTTACTGAAACGAGTGGCACTCCCATGTCCCCGTCTCTGAGGGCTTTGGGTGCTGAATGTTTGTAGTTCTGGAGACGAGTGTTTTTCTGGACTGGGTGAAGTAAACCTAAATGTTCTGGTGCGAGATATTCGAGTGAGTTGCACGAAGAAGAACAGAGCCAGGGCTTTTTTTCTTGTTCGAGGCAGCGGTGGAGGCAGGGGGTGGCCAATGGTGGCCTTGGCCCCCCATAGATTAATCTTCAGCCACCCCAATAGTTTGAGGAAACTATACTTTAAGCAATATAAAAAACTAGAAAACAGTTTCCTCAAATCTTGTGGGGTGGCTGGTTTACAGATATTTATGGTAGGGGTTGAATCAACTAGTCCATTCTGGGACATCTCGTGAGTTTTTAAATTTCACGTCGACTAGTCGCAGTAACATGATTGTGTCACGCCACCGCCCGGCGCTGATCACCGCCCCCCTGTTTTAATTTTAATTTATAAAATAAAAACAGGATGGCGTTTTATTTTATTTAGTGGATTAAATTTAATAAAACTAACATTTGCAGCTTAATAATAGTTTTGGTTTTCCTGTGACGTATTTGCAGTAAGATGAATGTTTAAATCATTTCTCTTTGGGATTAATAAAGTATTTTTTTAATTGAATTTGAATGTTAGGAGCTTAAATATACGTTCTCGATGTTTTGTTGTGCTTTTTTGTAAATAAGAAATTATGTTTTTTTGTGAATATGATAAAGCGTCTTGAGTTCCCATGACGTCACAGCGACTAGTTGGCGTCGACTTGAAAAAATATGAAGTCGTTCAACCCTAATTTATGGTGGCCATCTTGGATTTTGACGTGACACCCCAGTTTTCAGAGGAACCTTTTCTTCCGCAGAGGTTCATCCACAAACTAAAATGGATGTTGGCACCTCACTTATTTTTCAGGTCATCATGCAATACTGACGGACGGACAAGATCCTCATGAAGATGTTCAAGAAGCGCGTAAAGAACTCACAATTATCCAGAAGAAAACACAAACGGTGTTGATAAATGTCAGAAAGATAAAAGTTATAGCTCATACTACAGAAACAATATGGCCGAGTTTCTTTCAGGGAGGAACGTTAAGAAAATCAACAAAGATTCAAATCTAGAAAACCCGTTGGAAAAACTACAGCCTTAACAACAAAAAAAAGAAAAGAATTGTTTGTTCAAACTATTTAAAAATGCTTGAAAATGTTATTTTTTAAATAAAATAAACAACTTGAAGATTTATGAAGTTATAACTGAACATAGTGAGTTTATACCGACACAAAGTAAATTTATAATTTGACGTAAAGTGGGTTTATAACAGGACATAATTAATTACATGAAACAATTTAACTTAATAAATACCAGCTTCCTTTAGCTCAAGGTGGCCTTTAGTCTGCTGCCATGAATATTGGGCGATCATGTAATTGTGTTTTTATTTGTGTATGAGCAAATTATTTCATGAACCTCTGAAGAATTTATTACATCTTTCAGAGAGTAACCATCGGACGTACCAAGAGAGCTTCGTCCAGTTTTATGTTCGGTTGGGGAACGTGACGAGGAAAGCGTGTTCTGGTCCAGATTACCTGACTGAGGGGGTTCTCGCTGCTCGGCAGGATGATCACCATGGTGATGTCGTCTGCTCGGTACGGCATCTCCAGCAGCTGCACTTTGTCATCGGGGAAATGTTTGTACTTGAATTTGACCTCCTGGAACATCATGTGGACCTGACACCTCCGATCTTCACTGACGGAGAAGTCCGAGGGGAACACGTGTTCCTTGGGAAACTTACTTTTCCACTGACCCTAAGAGTAGGAACACCTTTTAGATGTGATCAGACTAAAAACAGCATTTCTCTGTTAGATCTTCTCAAACGCGTCGGAACATCTGTGCAGACGATGTTCAGTTTTCTAGTTCTGATTTCTAGCTAGTGTATAGAAAGATGGTTGTGGTACAATTTAACGTAACACACAAAAGTAAAATCTATATTTCATCAGAGCAGCTTCAGATATTAAAGTACCTTGAAGAAGATTGTGTTGACAAGAACCAGGACAGTGTTGGAGTCCAGCGCACCTGATGGCAGCGTGTCCTGGATTCGGTTGTTCGTCTTGTTGGAAATCCAGTTGTTAATGGTGACCCGAGCCTCGTCAGGGTTCGTCTGTGACAGAAAACCAGATTTACTGATCCAGCTGGTGTTGGACACCAGACACCGTGTCTGGTGCTGCAGGGTGTTAGGGTTTATTTAAAAAAAAAGGTAGTGGAGGTCAAAATTCTGAATGTAAATCTTAATATTGTCAGCACTGAAGGTAATTTTGACAAAAAGTTAGAATTATGGAAGTAAAATAAGAGCATAGAAAGTAAATTTACCAGAAAACGTTTTAATTATAAAAGTAAGGAATGATGTCATCTGCGTAGAGGATAATTTTGTCAGCAAAAAGTTAAAATTTTGAAAAAAAAAGAATGATATAATTCTTATAAAAGGTCATTTTGTTCACAGAATTCTGGAAATAAAAATAGATATCATCTGCATAGAAAGTAATTTTGTCAGCCAAAAGAATTCTGGAAGTTAAAGATACAGTCGTCCCTCGCTCTATTGAGGTTCACTTCTTGTGGCTTCACTGTATCGTGGGTTTCTTAAACCTGTTTTTTTAATTATGTGTACATGCTGTATAGTACTGTACATTCATCTCATCATCTTCATGGCCAAAGTGTTTAAGAGCATATGAAGTTTTTATAAGAGAGGGAATGTGACGATTCCTGCCCGTCTGTTCAACACGCTGAGATCAACATCATTCTCACCTGGTGGCCGTAGCTTGGCGTCAGATTATTGAAAGCCTTGCACAAATACAGGCGCTGGTCATAAAATTAGAATATCATGAAAAAGTGTATTTATTTCAGTAATTCCATTCAAAAAGTGAAACTTGTATATTATATTCATTCATTAAACACAGACTGATATATTTCAAATGTTTATTTCTTTTAATGTTGATGATTATAACTGACAACTAATGAAAACCACAAATTCAGTATCTCAGAAAATTAGAACATTACTTAAGACCAATAAAAAAAAGATTTTTAGAAATGTTGTCCAACTAAAAAGTATGAACATGAAAAGTATGAGCATGTACATCACTCAATACTTAGTTGTTGCTCCTTTTACCTGGATTACTGCAGCAACACATTGTGGCATGGAGTCGATCAGTCTGTGTCTCTGCTCAGGTGTTGTGAGTCCAGGTTGATCTGATTGTGGCCTTCAGCTCTTCTGAATTGTTGGGTCTGGTGTATCACGTCTTCCTCTTCACAATAAATAAATGGCCTCGCACCCATCTACCTCTCTGAGCTACTGGAACCATATGTTCCCTCTCGGGCTCGAGATCATCCTATCAGCTGCTTTTGGTTGTTCCAAAAACACGACTGAAGCTCCGAGGAGATCGGGCGTTTTCAGTCATGGGTCCCAAACTGTGGAACAACCTACCCCCCAACATTAGGCATGCCACCTCCCTTCCTGTGTTCAAATCCCTGCTAAAAACATATCTGTTCTCTCTGGCGTTTCATACTGCGTGAGTTGATTTAGTGTATCTTGTTCCATGTCTTCATTTTAATGCTGTTGTTTTAATTTTTTAAGGTATATTCTTACTGCTTTTTATTTCTCAGTGTTACCATTAGTGTTAAGCACTTTGATAACAGTCTATCTGTTTTAAATTGTGCTCTATAAATAAATATGACTTGACTTGACAATACACCATAGATTTTCTATGGAGTTAAGGTCAGGCGAGTTTGCTGACCAGTTAAGAACAGGGATACCATGGTCCTTAAACCAGGTACTGGTAGCTTTGGCACTGTGTGCAGGTGCCAAGTCCTGTTGGAAAATTAAATCTTCATCTCCATAAAGTTGGTCAGCAGCAGGAAGCATGAAGTCTCTAAAACTTCCTGGTAGATGCTGTGTTGACCTTGGACCTCAGAAAACACAGTGGACCAACACCAGCAGATGACATGGCCCCAAACCATCACTGACTGAGGAAACTTGACACTGGACCTGAAGCAACGTGGATTCTGTGCCTCTCCTCCTCCTCCAGACTCTGGGACCTTGATTTCCAAAGGAAATGCAAAACATACTTTCATCAGAGAACATAACTTTGGACCACTCAGCAGCAGTCCCAGGTGAGATGCTTCTGACACAGTTTCTTGTTCAAGAGTGGCTTGACACAAGGAATGCGACAGCTGAAACCCATGTCTTGCATACGTCTGTGCGTGGTGGTTCTCGAAGCATTGACTCTAGTTGCGGTCCACTCTTTGTGAATCTCCCCCACATTTTGGAATGGGTTTTGTTTCTCTCCAAGGTGCAGATATCCCTATTGCTTGTACATTTTTTTCTACCACATCATTTCCTTCCCTTCACCTCTATTAATGTGCTTGGACACAGAGCTCTATGAACAGCCAGCCTCTTTAGCAATGACCTTTTGTGTCTTGTCCTCCTTGTGCAATGTGTCATTGGTCATCTTTTGGACAACTGTCAAGTCAGCAGTCTTCCCCATGATTGTGTAGCTACAGAACTAGACAGAGACCATTTAAAGGCCTTTACAGGTGTTCTGAGTTAATTAGCTGATCAGAGTGTGGCTCCAGGTGTTTTCAATATTGAACCTTTTCACAATGTTCTAATTTTCTGAGATACTGAATTTGGGGTTTTCATTAGTTGTCAGTTATAATCATCAACATTAAAAGAAATAAACATTTGAAACATATCAGTCTGTGTGTAATTAATGAATATAAAAAACAAGTTTCACTTTTTGAATGGAATTACTGAAATAAATCAACTTTTTCATGATGTTCTAATTTTATGACCAGCACCTGTACATTCATCTCATCATCTTCATCGCTGAAGTGTTTAAGATCATATGAAGTTTTTGTAAGAGAGTGGGACTGTGACGATTCCTGCCCGTCTGTTCAACACGCTGAGCTCAACATCATTCTCACCTGGTGGCCGTAGCTTGGCGTCAGATTATTGAAAGCCTTGCACAAATATATGTCCAGTAATTATCTCATCTTCTGACCGATCCCCTCAAACTGACCAAGTTCTGTGCCCTGGATTTTCCTGTTTGGCCTTGAGAAACTTTCCACTGCATTTCCACAGACGTGTGCCGACTTCCACCAGTCTTTTCAAAATAAAACAGAGCGTGCTCTGTGCCCGCTTGAATTTGAGTCCTCCGCTAAATTCATTACAGGGAAATGTTAATAAGAGTGTGGGAAGAGTTTGTAGGGGTGTGGGAAGGGTTTATAAAGCCTTAATATATATAAATGATAAACTATAACAACGTTATATGATTTTCACTTATCGCGGGGGTGTTTGGAGCGTAACCCTCATTATAGGTGAGGGGTCATCACATCGAAGGTTTATTTGTCGACAAGAAATTAGAATTCTGAAAGTAAAATAAATGTAATTAAGATAGGTCATTTAGTCTACAATTATAAATTCTGAAAGTAAAGAATGACATCATCAACATACAAGGTCATTTTGTCTACAGAAAGTTAGAATTCTGAAAGTAAAGAATGGTCTATTCAAGATGGAAGGTATTTTTCTCTCCTGATCTTTTAGACGTTTTAAAGCAAAGAACGATGTCGTTGGCTGAAATGGAAAATTTAGAGTAAAAACTCGAACATGAATAAAATGTGAAAACAAAAGTAAGACCAACATCAAAACATTTAAATAACCATCGATTTAGTGATTTTATGGCCCAACAATCTGCTTCTTGTAGCTTTATTTTCATTATTTAAACTATTCAATTTTACTGTGAAATCGATATATTTTAATGTAATTAATTGAATATTTTCAGATACGTTAGAATAACGTAAAATATTCTGAGCACCTTGAAGTTTAGAGGCAGCAGTTTTTCTCCGTACACCATCTTGCTGATGTTCTGGTACGTCTCGTTGAAGAGCAGGGACTTCTCCCCGAACAGCCGGTTGGCAGAGATCAGCTCCGTGCTCTGGTCCTTCTTTCTGTACAAGCGACAGTTCAGTTTGGCGAAGAAGAAGTGGACCTGGTCGGACGTCTTCTCTGAGATGGTGTCGAACTGAAACACCTGACGGAAGAACAAAGTTGTGCCCGATTACTGTAAATCAGTTCAGTTTATTTCTAAAGCTCCAAGTCACATCAGGCGCTGAACAGAAACATTTTTATATAAAAATAATAATTTAACTTTATTTATCTGAGGAGCAGCTTTGAGTTTAACTCCATCACTGAACTCTCATCTTGAACAAGCATGAAGGCGACAGTGGAAAGAAAAACTCCCTCATGAGGAAGAAACCTTTAGCAGAACCAGGATCAGGACAAGAGGACCATCTGCTTCGACCAGCTGGGTTTGGTAAGAACAGATACACAATGGCAGGTCAAGAACCACATGTTAATATAGTATCAAATGAAAACTATTTAATTTTTACAATTCATTTAAGGAAATGGTCAATTTGTTCTCTAGTAGTCTAAGTCTATAGCAGCATGACAAGTCAACCCTAACTATAGGATTTATCAAGAAGGAAAGTCTTAAACTGGACAATGTGTCAGCCTCATGGACAGAAGCTGGAAGTTGGTTCCACAAGAGAGGAGCCTGAGAACTGGAAGATCTTCCTCACATTCTGCTCTTAGAAACTCTAGGAACCACAAGTAAACCTGCAGTCTGAGAGTGAAGTGCACTGTTAGGAAAATATGGAACAATAAGATCTGTAATATAAGATGGAGCTAGGTTGTTGAGCGCTTTGTAGGTTAGTTGCCTGACTAAAGTAAGATGACTTGGTTTAAACTTTTAGCCTTAAAATCTGTGGTTTATAATCTTTTTATAACCAAGGAAACAACAATATGTAGCGTAATGAGTAGAACCGCTGCTCCTCCGCGTCCAGATGAGCCAGTTGAGGTGGTCAGACATCTAATGACCCCTGGACGCCTCCCTAGGGAGGTGCTCTGGGCCAACTGGGAGGAGACCCCAGGTGCCTCAGCTGGACTGGGACCACTTTGGAGTCCTCCCAGAAGAACTGGAACGGGTGGCTGTGGAAAAATGGACCTTCCTGCTGCCTGTTAGACCTGAGTCCAGGACCAGAGGACGGAGGGATGGATGGTGTTTGTTTATCAGACTTTGGTTCAACGATGTTTGGTTTGGTTTTAGTGGGCTGCAGTGTTGTGCTGATTCAAAAGCAGATGGAAACCCATTTAACCTGAACACCCCCCCCCCTTCCACACACACACACACACACTAAAGTCTAGTAAAATCCATGTTCCCTGCCTTTGAAGTTGAGTAAGGGTGATAACACCCTTAAATATGAAGCACCCGCCCTGGAAAATGTTCGGGTCAAGCTAAGAACCCAATGTGGTCTCTGCTTCAGAACAGAGGAGCTCAAGTTCAACCACTGACGTCAGTTTTCAAAGATTTTAAACACTTTCAGAGAAATGTGAATAATTTGTTGTTTCCGATCGTTCAGTATCCCGAGCCGAGTGTTAGGACCTTTTAGGACTTTCTGACCTTCATGATCTGCTCCAGCGTGTGGTTGCAGGCTCCCAGTTTGGTCATGGCGAACGCGGTGGAGATGCTGATGGGGGACATGAAGATGTTGCTCTCGGGGCTCCTGCTGCGGCTCAGCTGTTTGTACAGGGACAAGGCGAAGCGGCTGTTGGCGTTCGACAGCTCCCATACTCGGGGGTTGGCGGGCTCAGGGAAGGTTTGGGGCTTCGGGTCCGAGTCCTCCGGGTCAGGTTTGCGGTAGATGCAGCGCGGCTGCAGGGCGAGGTCTTTGGGCTTGGCGCTGCAGATGTCCAGGAGTTCAGTGGATGAGACCAAAGGTAGAAACGCCAGAAACAAGAACCAATCGGCCGACCTCATCCTGCACCAAGAAACAAGAAGGTTAGTTTCACACGTTTTGATAGAAGGTGCTTCATGACATTTATTTTAAAAAGATTTTAGTTCTTATCATAAAAATAAAATATAATAACCCCCCCCCCCTTAATTTAAGGGGTTTCTGTATTAGGACTTAGACTAAAAGGTCTAAGGCTCTAAAATTATTCTAATCTCAAATGTTCGCTCACAAAAGATTTCACCGAGTCATTAAAGAAACTGGATCCAGCTGTGGGTCCAGCTGTGGGTCCATTTGTAGGTCCAGCTGTGGGTCCAGCTGTGGGTCCAGTTGTGGGTCCAGTTGTGGGTCCAGCTGTGGGTCCAGCTGTGGGTCCATTTGTAGGTCCAGTTGTGTGTCCAGCTGTGGGTCCAGTTGTGGGTCCAGTTGTGGGTCCAGTTGTGGGTCCAGCTGTGGGTCCATTTGTAGGTCCAGTTGTGTGTCCAGCTGTGGGTCCAGCTGTGTGTCCAGCTGTGGGTCCAGCTGTGGGTCCAGTTGTGGGTCCAGCTGTGGGTCCAGTTGTGGGTCCAGCTGTGGGTCCAGTTGTGGGTCCAGTTGTGGGTCCAGTTGTGGGTCCAGCTGTGGATCCAGCTGTGGGTCCATTTGTAGGTCCAGTTGTGTGTCCAGCTGTGGGTCCAGCTGTGGGTCCAGTTGTGGGTCCAGCTGTGGGTCCAGTTGTGGGTCCAGCTGTGGGTCCAGTTGTGGGTCCATTTGTAGGTCCAGTTGTGTGTCCAGCTGTGGGTCCAGTTGTGGGTCCAGTTGTGGGTCCAGCTGTGGGTCCAGTTGTGGGTCCATTTGTAGGTCCAGTTGTGTGTCCAGCTGTGGGTCCAGTTGTGGGTCCAGCAGGTTGTAGAACCTCCTTCAGCAGCAGAACTCTGTGGTTTTATTTTTCTGTTTGTCTCATGGTTCTGGAGAAGTTCTGGTCCATGCTTCTTTCCATCGTTGCTTCAGTTCATGGAGGTTTCTGCTCAGCTCTCTGAAGGTCAGGCTGAGGTTCTGGACTCTGACTGGACCGTTGCTTCTGTTCGTTTTGATCCGTTCTGTTGTAGATCAGCTGCTGTGTTTGGGATCACGGTCCAGTTGGACCCAGTTTGGTCCAAGCTTCAGCTGTTGGACAAATGGACTCACATCTGACTCCAGAACCCTTTGGTCTGCAGGAGTTCACTCAGAGACCTCAAGGAGCCCAAACCATCAGCCCTCCACCTCCGTGCTGACAGCTGGGAGGAGCTGTTTGCTGCAGTGCCTTCTGGGTAAACATCTGTCCTTTGTTCTGGTTCTGGTCCAGAAGTTTTATGGTTTCTTCAGATGAAACTTTCCAAACCCAAGTCGAGGTGCCACATTGTTTTTAGAGAAAAGAGGCCATGACCTTTGACCTGTTGACTGAGGCCTGGAGTCTGAGGTGGAACTCATTGCACAGTCTGACCTTCAGGGTGAATCTGCTGTGAAGATTGGCAGAAGGTTTCCCACCTGTGAATAATGTTTCTCTCTGTAGAACGATGGGGCCCAGATGACCTCTGACCCTTCTCACACTGACGGGCAGCAACAGCTGCTTCTCTGAGGTCCTTGCTGATGTCTTTCCACCTTGGCGTTGTGTTATCACACCTGGATGCTCAGAGCAGAGGTGGTCCCACTGACGACCAGTTGATCCTGCACTGGGACCACTTTTTGTTTTTGTTTAATAAAAAACGACTCGATGGGATCTGTTGTGTGTTTCTGACACTTGAGGTCCGATTTAATCATTTCAGAACCCGGTGAAGACCCGATGGGTTTCAGTTTGTCCTGATTGATGAGAAGCTAGAACTGAATGAGGGCGGACATTATTTTTCCCACACTTTATGTAAAACGGCCATTTTAAACCGTTCTGTTGAAAAGGTCTTTAAAAAAGGAACTTTTGACCACACGAGAATATCGGCTGAAGGAAACGGGCCCACGAGACCAGAACATGGAACGGACAAGAACTACGAGGTAAATATTGATGAGAAGTCTGAGATAAACGAGAAGACGTGTGACTGACTGAATATCAATAAAAGTGACTGAGCTTTTTCACTTTGCTTCAGAGAACATACTTTAAGTTCAGCTCAAACATTGGACCTCCGTGTTTTCATGAGAACAAAGAAAAGCTCTTACCTGAGCAGGTTTAGTGACGATCGTTCAGGTTTTGAAGCTGATTTCAGGTCAGTGTCCCGCCGAGCACCAAAAACCTCACATTGACCTTTGAGACATCGACCCGCCGCTCGTCAGCAGATACCAGGAAACATCTGGACCAGAACCAGCTGCTGCCGAGGGCGGGAAAACAAACGCCTCCGATCAATAATCAAACAGGAGGCGGCAGCAATCAATACGAGGCGGAACGTGTTTACCTGATGGCCGGGACAGAAACGAGCACAGGAGGAGAACGTTTCGATGTTTGTTGTATTCAGAAGAGGACGCAGCGATGGAGCCGTTTGAGTACGAGTCATTGCCCACGTCTTTTCAAAGAGTCCCAGTTAATTCCACAAAATAAATGTAAAAACGATGCAACGGAACGGTCGAGCTGCTCAGTGAGAAGGTCGCCGGTTCAAATCCTGGCTGAGGGCCTTTCTGGGTGGAGTTTGCATGTTCTCTCCGTGCATGCGTGGGTTTTCTCCAGGTGCTGTAGGTTTCCTCCCACAGATCAAGCACATGCATGTTAGGCTGATGGTAACTCTAATTGTCCCTAGGTGGGAGAGAGAGAGAGAGAATGGCTGTTCGTCTTGTTCCTCCACAAAATCAGAATCTTTTCCTCGAAGGCAAATAACTGACTAGTTTTCAAACATGTGCACGTCCCTGAAGCATTCATTAAAACCTTCATCAAACAGTAATGTGTCTCTTTCATCAGTGCAAATGAAACCAATCTAAAAAACACGTTCAACTTTAAAAACAAACTCTGAAACCACACCCACCTCTAAAAAACTAGTTCTGTTCAGTTGATTTAAATAACACCAATTCACAACAGATGTCGACATTTAGTGTATACGGTGTATATTCAAGTACATTTACACATATATACATATATTTGTGTAAATATATATATATATTTGTATGTATATACATACAGTGCCTTGTGAAAGTATTCGTCCTCCTTGAACTTTTCAACCTTTTGCCACATTTCAGGCTTCAAACATAAAGATATAAAATTTTAATTTTTTGTGAAGAATCAACAACAAGTGGGACACAATCATGAAGTGGAATGAAATTTATTGGATGTGTCAAACTTTATTAACAAATAAAAAACTGAAAAGTGGGGCGTGCACTATTATTGGGCCCCTTTACTTTCAGTGCAGCAAACTCAGTCCAGAAGTTCAGTGAGGATCTATGAATGATCCAATGTTGTCCCAAATGACTGATGATGATTAATAGAATCCACCTGTGTGTAATCAAGTCTCTGTATAAATGCACCTGCTCTGTGATAGTCTCAGGATTCTGTTCAAAGAGCAGAGAGCATCATGAAGACCAAGGAACACACCAGGCAGGTCTGAGATACTGTTGTGGAGAAGTTTAAAGCCAGATTTGGATACAAAAAGATTTCCCAAGCTTTAAACATCCCAAGGAGCACTGTGCAAGCAATCCTATTGAAATGGAAGGAGTATGAGACCACTGCAAATCTACCAAGACCCGGCCGTCCCTCTAAACTTTCATCTGGAACAAGGAGAAGACTGATCAGAGATGCAGCCAAGAGGCCCATGATCACTCTGGATGAACTGCAGAGATCTACAGCTGAGGTGGGAGAGTCTGTCCATAGGACAACAATCAGCCGTACACTGCACAAATGTGGCCTTTATGGAAGAGTGGCAAGAAGAAAGCCATTTCTCAAAGATGTCCATAAAAAGTGTTGTTTAAAGTTTGTCACCTGGGAGACACCAAACATGTGGAAGAAGGTGCTCTGGTCACATGAAACTAAAATCCAACTGTTTGGCCACAATGTAAAACGATATGTTTGGTGTAAAAGCAACACAGCTCGTCACCATGAACACACCATCCCCACGGTCAAACATGGTGGTGGCAGCATCATGGTTTGGGCCTGCTTTTCATCAGCAGGGACAGGGAAGATGGTCAGACTTGATGGAAATATGGATGGGGCCAAATACAGGACCATTCTGGAAGAAAACCAGTTTGAGTCTGCAAGAGACCTGAGACTGGGACGGAGATTTATCTTCCAACAAGACGATGATCTGTAGCGGGAAGGGTTGTTTAATAGTTAAAATTCGTTATGAATTTTATTTTGAAGGGGCACCACTCTCAGCTCTGAGAGAACTCTGAACGTCTTAAAATTAATTCAGATTATTATTTAATTACCTCGAATTACACTTTTACACCATGAGCTCTTTTGTATGAAGGATTCAGATGTCATAAGTAAAACACGCTTTAATACAATTTTGTGATGTTTATTTAACTACGTATGATAAAAACACAATTATTTCTGACATTTAAAACGAAGGCTTTGCTCCCAACTGGAGTTAAATGGAAATTAAGTGACCATAAAAATTACTTGTTCGCAGGGATTAACAGATGAATGAAATTATTCTATGTGCTTTACCAAACCAGAAACGAGACGCAACGTAGAACGATTTTGAAATTTCAACAGTGCAGATTACTCGTGCAAATTTGACTAAAAGAAATATGTTTTATTGTTCAATAGTTAAAATTTGGTCTGAAATTTAAAGAAAAATAATTACTGAACTGAGTTAATACTAATTTGGTTAATTATCTAAATTCTTGAACACCAGAGTCAACCGTCAGAGTATCAGATCAGCTGTTCCTACCAGGGGTCGTCTTCAAAGGCTGCCAGAGATACCAGATATTTGACTCTCTATGGTCCGATGGTCGGTGATGTAAAGGTTGTAACTTCTTCACATCCCTGACCTCAAGACGAGGAGTTGGTCCACTGGCTCGAACGGTCAGCCTGGAGCGTTTCCAGGAGTTCTGGACAGCTGTTGTTACTCTTTGATGAAAAGTGTTTGGATCGCTGAACAGGATTCTATCAAACTTTGCCCAAAGTTGAAGCTAATTTCCTCCTTGGAAGTCTTCTGCAGGTTGTGTCTTAGAGCTTAAATCTTCTCCTCGGGAGGTCTTCATCATCATTTCTTCTTCACTCTCTCTCTCTGTCTTTTCTCTCGTCTCATCTTCTAATATTCTGAGAGGTCTTCCTCTCTTGTAAACCACTGACCACACCTCTGATTTGAAAGAAGTGGTCGATTTGAACCAATCAAAATGAAAGGGATGCACTTTATCAACTAAATAAAGTATTATTTTAATCTGCTCTGTTGAAAAAGTCATCAAATAAAATCATTTA